ATAACCAATAGTTATATAATATTAATATTTCTAACTATACTATACAAATTGTTTAGTTTTGGAGCTTTGTGTTGCATGGAGGTTAGTCTCAGTCATTAATGTATGCTGTGGTTAAGCACTGCCCATCATCGATGACTCCCTAAGTTATTTTACTTTTAGAAATAAAATGTTGGTACAGATACAACGTATGTATATGCATACAATTTACCTTGAAATAACAGTTTAAAGTACAGTTTTGACCACGGTTGAGACAAGACGTATGTTTGTTCTCTCCATACCTACTATCGCAGTCATTAGTTCTTTCTAGATAATATTACGCTGTTTAATATCCGTTTATATTTATTTTATCTGTGCTTTGTCAGTTGTGCCATATTAGTATATTATACGCGTCGTTTCCGCTGTGTCGTTGTGGTGTTATCGCCGATCCAACGTTCTCCACGTCAAGGTCTTGATTTTATTATAACTATTATTTTTATTATACTCTCACTTATCGCAATACTCTCTCATTGCCCACCGTTGAGAGCATCCTTTACCTGCCTAACATCGTCTTAATGGTTTCAATCCACGTCTTATACGAAACGCGGAATATTTATAATTGATTAATGCCATCCAATTGTCCTGTATGCAACACCGCCGTTCCACGACATTCATCATCAATTGGTTGTTCGATTTGTTTCACCCTTTACCATTCATCTTGTCTGGATTTACCACCTAAGTCTCTTACGCTCTACAAAAAACCAAACAGCAATTGGACCTGTCCTATACACTCTATAACTATGCCTAATACGCCAAAAATAACCCTAGATGCTGTTAAATCTAATAACACTCTTACATTAAGCGACTTAGCTAAAATGATTAGTACGTTGTCTTCTAATCAGGACAAAGGCTTTAAATTATTAATTCTCGTATTGACGATTTATCAACGCATTTAGACAAATTAGACTCGGCTCCAGCTGAGTGTCAAAATAAAGCGCAGCGTCTCGAAGACAGGGTTAAAGCATTAGAAACCCAAAAATCAGTTTTGGACACTAACTCTATGGACTTTTCCCTGGTTGTCAGGAACGAAGTTTTTGATTTCCAAAAGCGCTCTCTTAATGTTATCTTACATGGTATTAAGGAATCTGCTGAAACGGTAGCTAAAGAGCGTATAATTCATGACAATAATAAAATTAACGAGCTTTTTACCCTACTATCAATCAATCCGGATGTAATAGCTAACATTTCAAGATTGGGTCATCCATCTTCATCAAATCAAAGGCCAATTAAGTTGATCTTACTGAATCCCTGTGATGCTGATAGAGTTTTAACGTCCTTCATGAAAATAAAACGTTAATCTCCAACCGCTGTACATAATATCTCCTCGTCAAAGATCGCACTCAGGCAGAACGCCGCCACATAAAGGAAGTATACGTGGATTTCAAGAACAGATTCGAGGCAGGGGAAAAGGATATAAAAGTTCAATACTTCAATGGAATTCCTAAAATTATAAATATTAAAAAAAACTAAATGGTAGGGTGAAGCCCAATAGTCATAGTTATAGTAGTAAGTTAAAATCAATGTCCAATAATCATAAATCAAATGAATTTTTTAATAAGCCTTCTGTTTGTATTAATTCCCATCTCTCGGGTTACTACCAAAATGTCCGTGGTCTAAGAACCAAATTAAATTTATTAAAATGTTCAATACCTTCATCTACTCATGATTTTATAATATTTACTGAGACTTGGTTAAATAACACTTTCTTTGACAATGAGTTAGGCTTCACCCAGCATAACGTGATAGAACCGAAACATCTAGCCTTCATAGTCGTGGTGGAGGAGTTCTCGTCGCTATTAAAAAAACTTTTAATTCCACATTGCTTAATATTGATACTTTAAACGTAGAACAAGTCTTTGTCAAAGTTATAGTCGGTGACCTTTTGATTATTTTTTGTGCTGTATACCTTCCACCAAATAGTGACTTACAGTTATACTTAAATCATCTCTCAGTCCTAGAATCTATTGACTCTTCTTTTCCGAATTGTAAGCTTATCATTTGTGGTGATTATAATATTCCCTCCCTATCCTGAGTAAGTGACAAGTACGGATTTAAGTGTGTCAACTTCCTTTCTTCCCAAGTAGGAAGTTCTCTTATTGAGAGCTGCTCTTTGTTAAATCTATATCAGTTCAATTCTATTATTAATGCTCATGGAAATATTCTGGATTTGGTGTTTTCTAATCTCCTTGAGAACTCCATAAATATTCACGATGACCCGTTTGTCCCTATTGACCCTTGCCACCCTCCAATTCAAATAAATGTTCGATTACCTATCTTTCAGCCTATTCTTAAAAACGACAAAACAATTTTCAATTATGAGAAAGGTGATTATATTAATGCTAACCTATTTTTTAATTCTTTTAATTGGTTGAATACTTTTAGACACCTCAATACTGAGACAGCTTCCCTCGTTTTCCAACACGCACTTTTAGAAGCTTTACACTCGTTTGTCCCTCAAAAAACCATAAGCACCTCCTTTGATTTCCCTCATTGGTTCAATAAAGAACTCAAAACTCTTGTTTGGAAGAAAAATAAAGCCCATTCAATTTATATAAAAAATAAAAGTAAATCAAATTATGAAAAATTCTCCTTGTTGCGAGCTCAATATAAATCACGGTCAAAAATTGTTCTTCATGATTTCATACACCGGTCAGAAAGTAAAATTATAAGTAACCCGAAATATTTTTGGAATTGGGTTAACTTTAATACTAAGTCTCATGGTATATCTAGTTCTGTATTCTTAGGTAATACTACTGCTAATAACGGTGCGGCTATTGCTAATTTATTCTCAGACTATTTCTCCTCTGTATATAACACTTCACCCGTTCATTCACCCGATGAATCTAACATTTTCGCCTCTACTTATCAATTTGATCACATCATCCCCACTAAATGCAGTATCTCTCTTAATGAGGTATCTAATGGTCTACGGACACTTATAAAATGTAGGTCTCCCGGCCCTGATGGGGTTTCAGGTTACTTTTTGGCAAACTTATCTAATTCCATAGCTTATTCCATATTCATCTTATATAACAAATCACTTAAGGAAGTTGAGTTTCCATCTATCTGGAAAAAAAGCTCTGTCACCCCAGTTTTCAAAAAAGGCAATAAATCTAATGTTGAAAATTATCGCCCTATCTCTGGTCTAGTACAAATTGGTAAATTATTAGACAAATTGGTTTTAGCTCAAATGATTAAACCAATCAATAACATTTTAGACAATAGCCAGCATGGTTTTAGACCGGGGAGGTCCACCTTAACTTGTAATTTATCGCTGCAAAATTTCATACTCAACGCTTTTAAGGATAATTGTCAAGTGGATGTAATTTATACCGATTTTGCGAAAGCCTTTGACCGTGTCGATCATGAATTATTGATTATTATATTGGGTAGATTAGGGTTTAGTCATCCATTGTTATCCTGGTTTAAATCGTATCTCACAAATAGGTCTCAGTTCACCCAAGTACACGGCTTCTATTCAAATACGGTCCCTGTCCCATCTGGTACTCCCCAAGGAGGTCACTTATCGCCCATACTATTCAATTTATTTATAAATGGACTATCACTTGTTCTTAAAAAATGCCAAATCCTGTTCTTTGCAGATGATTTAAAAATATTTACTCGTATTTCCTCGTTTGAGGATTGCTTAGTTTTACAAGATGAATTAAATATCTTATCTACATGGTGTCATAACTGGGGCATGTGTCTCAATACTGATAAGTGTTATTCAATGTGTTTTTACAGATACCGTGAGCATATAACCTATGTGTACTCTATAAATGATGTCCAACTTAGATCAGTCTCTTCAATTACAGACTTAGGAGTAACTTTAACCACTAATTTAAATTTCCGTAATCATATTGAGTGTGTTGTGAAAAAATCATTGAAAATTTTAGGATTTATTAAGCGCCATTCATCTGAATTTAAAGACCTTAGATCATTTAAACTCCTGTACTGTGCATTAGTTAGATCTATTCTCGAATACGGAGCTCCTATCTGGAATCCATACACCAAAACCGATATCGATTTCATTGAACGCGTTCAAAATAGGTTTTTAAAATTCGTAGCCTTTAAATTTAATTTGATCATTGATAATCATGATTATACACAAATCAGATCTTTTCTTAACATTCCAGCCTTATCCTCCAGACGTGAAATAGCAGATATATCCTTTATATATAAGTTAATTAATGGTATCACCGATGATCCTGATCTTTTAAATTGCATCCCCTTTGCTATTCCAGCCTACAATAATCGTTCCACATCTCTGTTTTACATTCCAGTATATAGCACAAACTATTTAAAAAACTCACCTATTCCTAGGGCTATGGTTCTATGCAATACACTTTCTTCTCTCCCTTAAAGGAGATAATAAACGCTCACATGAACAATGTGAATACATAATGCTGGGTTTGCCTTTCAAATTTAATACTATTTTCCCTTTCTAGATTTTTGTAAACTTAATATACCTATAAGATATTTGTTGCTTGTAATATTACTAATATTGTATTTTTCTGTACTTGTATTCAAACTTTACTCTGTACTATTGGGCCTTGGCCTGTTTTATTCTACTGAATAAACTATTATTATTATTATTATTATTAAAATAACTTCAATTATAAATTATTGATATATTCTTGGCAGTGCCGGCCCGATGGTTTTCGGGGCCCGGTGCAGAATTTCGCGGGGCCCCATATGGCCAATGGCTGTATATGTTAATTTATTAATTATTATACAATATACACATTTATTTTATTTTTTAGGGACTAACTTTAATCTTATATAATTTTGTAATCTTAAAGCTCTTTTAATTATGTTAGAAACCTAAGATTGTTCGTATAAACAATGTACAAACAATATTTTATTAATAAATATTTTTATTATATTGAACATAAATTATAATAATAATTAAATGAGTATAATTACGTTTACTAAGAATAAAAAAAATTTAACAAAATATAATATTATTTAAATATTTTTTTCCGTATTTTTTTTGATGCAAACTGATCAATTGTCTCATTGTAGCTCAAAGAATCGGCAATACTATGTTCGATGCTGATGAGGGCCAGGTCCGATAACTTATGCTGTGATAGATTGCTTCTTAAATAATTTTTTATCAGCTTCAATTTAGAGAATGAACGTTCAGCACCAGCTGATGTAACTGGTATGGTGAGCATTATTCTAATTGCCACTTCTATATTTTGAAATGAACTAGAAACGTTTTTTAAAAAAGATAATGCCTGCAGAGGTGTTGCGTTTTCGTCTACTATACTTCGAAAAATAAGAAGTTCCATGTATAAATCTGCACCATTTATATCTCTAGAATTGCCTTCACTCAATACGTTTTGCAAATCGTTACAACAATTTTTAATAAAATCATCATTTTGATGTTTAAGTTTTCCAATTCTGTACAAAAATCCAAAATTGGAGTTAAATGTGCTCTGGTACTCAAATCGTACTCTCAATGCTTCAGTAGCACGGTCAATTAGAATCAAAAAGTAATCACGACGAAATTCTTCTTCTGAACTAATTGTATATTCATCGTTACTTTCGTAGTTAAACATTTTTTTTTTCTTTCTTGGTCTTTTTTCCTTGAAGTTAGCAGTTCCACCAATAGATTCAACGATTTCTATTCCAACCAATTTGGCGTTTTCAAATCCATTTGTACGATATTTTTCTAGAAAAGTGATAAGACTCCCTAAGCTGCTAGCCGATGCATCTAAATCCATTTTAGGATCTTGTAAGATTCTGTTTACAATTTTAACTTGACCCAAAATATCATGCCAGATTACCAGACTCAAAACAAATTCAAAACTCATCAATTCATCTATAATTGATTTTGCTTCACTCACTGACTTTGGATCATTAGAGCATTCAGCTATTTCTTCTAAAGCATTTAGTACCTCAGGTAGTTGATCTCTGATCGCTTTAACACATTTATATCTACTTTCCCATCGTGTAGCTGTCCACTTTTTTAACACTATGGAGCAGTGTTTTTTTAAAATATCCCATCTTTTTGTAGACGCTGAAAATAGAGTGTACACACGTTCAATCATTCCAAAAAATGATATTGCTCTAATACAACTTTGAGAAACATCACAAAGGAGTAAGTTTAGCTTATGAGCAGCACATGGGGCAAAAAATGCTCTTTGATTTTGAGCTCGAATACGTGACTGTACTCCTTGATATTCTCCAACCATATTGCTTCCGTTATCATACCCCTGACCTCGGCAGTCACTAAGAGGTATCTCATATTCTGCAAGCTTTGAAATCAACAAATTTGAAAGACTTAATCCTGACGTTGAATGAATATTCACGAAGTCCATAAACAATTCTTGAATGCTTGGTTCTGTTAATTTGTCCCAATGCATGTTGACAATTCTAAATACTAAGGATACTTGCTCTTGGTGGCTAATATCTGGAGTGCAATCAATGATCACGGAATAGTACCTATGTTTTTTAATTAAATTTATAATTGATTTTCGAACTTCATTTGCCATTATTTCTATCAACTCATCTTGAATTCTGTGTCCTAGGTAATGGACATGAGTTTCTTTATCTTTAATTCGTTTTACGTGTTTCTGTATAACAGGATCAAATTTGGAAAGCATTTCAATCGCACTAAGAAATTTTCCATTATTGTCTTGATATAAAACATCATTGGAACCCCTGAATGCAATACTATTTTTAGCTAAAAAATGGATAACCGCTAGTATTCGTGTAATAACATCATGCCAATGTTTTTTTTCCGCGTTTAATTTAGTCAGATGTAGTTTATCTATAGTATTGAGTTCTGATATTCTTTGTTTTAATTCAATCCATGACTGTAAGGAAGTATAATGTGGAATCGTGATTTCATGAGACTTTAGTCTCTCCCCAATATGTCGCCAATCGTTTATACCATTCTTGCTTAAATTACCAGTAGAATGAGAGTCAAAAAGTTTACAACAAAAACAAAAAGCTCTATCTTTAAATTTTGAATATACCAGCCAGTTTCGTTTAATAACATCTCCGTTGTCTAAACGTTTGTCATATAATGTTGGATTAAAACGTCTTAGCTCACCATTTATTTCAGATTGAGGAAAATTATAGCTTTTAACTTGTATTGGCCCCAGTTTTATAAGCTCTTTTCTGAAATCATTATTTATTATTTCAGGCCAACAACCAATATCTGTCATATCGTAGTCATTTACTGTGTTTATAATAATGTCATTACTGCTACTTTTACTTTCGGTTTGTAATTTATTAATTTCAACTTCGTTATCAATTTTTATACTTGAAGAAGGAGTATCAAATTTATCATTCTCAATATTTTTCATATCATAATCATTTACTGTGTCTATAATAAAGTCATTACCGCTATTATTACTTTCGGTTTGTAATTTATTAATTTCAACTTCGTTATCTATTTTTATACTTGAAGAAGGAGTATCAAATTTATCATTCTCAATATAATCTGTCGTATCATAATCGTTTACCGTGTTTATAATAAAGTCATTACCGCTATTATTCCTTTCGGTTTGTAATTTATTAATTTCAACTTCGTTGTCTATTTCTATACTTGAAGAAGGAGTATCAAATTTATAATTTATATATTTGTTGAAAGATCCACGCATTTTATTTAAACTTTTTTCCCTTATGTTTTTTTTCTGCCTTTTCGCATTTCCTGACGGATAACTTCTAAACTTATCTCGATCTCTTGATGACATGATACAGAAATATAAGAACTACAAAGTATCGTTTTGTAAATTGCCTGTGAAAATGATATTACCTATCAGTATTGTTTTTAAAATTTAGATAGAATGACTTTAATGATTCTACATCTACATATTTTTTTGTCATATAAAAATGTAAAATAATCCAAAACGTACCTTTTCCATTAATTAATTAATTATTAATTAATCCACCCCTCAATCAAGGTAAGATATTAAAATATAGACATAGTACACATACTTATTCCGTAATCCATATTCAAAAATATTTATTTTATGTAAGTAATTAAAATAGACTATAGTAAATACCTGTTTATTAATGAAGCGATGTCCGTTAAATTAAACCCGTGTTCGTCAATCGTCGTTAGCTCGTTGAATGTCTCGTAGTGACGAGACGAGCGTTACCCGTGTAGCCTTTTGTAGGCAATATCAAGATTATGAGGTATCGTAGTTCTCGTTAATAATAAATTACGAAAGAAAAATATTATCATTATACTATTTTATACTATGTTATTATAATAGGCTACAGCTATAGTTTGTACTGTTATCGATCGTCGTCAAAGATAAACAATTGTACAAGTACGTCATAACGAATGTATAACTGTATAGATAATAGATATGTAGGTATAATTGGTATTCGTCGATAACAAACAGTTTCCTAAGAAAACAACACGGGTCGCGATATCCGTATTACTGCTACGGGGACAATATTATTATGTTTATTTATAGATAAAGTGATATTCGTAACAAGCCCGCCATGCGCGGGGCCCCACACAAGCGCGGGGCCCGGTGCGGTCGCACCGCTTGCCCCCCCCTAGGGCCGGCACTGATTCTTGCTTTTTGTAAAACTTTCCATAAACGCTCTCCATTCTAATACAATAATAATATTTTCTGGTTGACTTCTAGTGTATACATGATCTAAATCCATGTATTCGGTTGAATTGCTCTTTCCCGGCAAAAACGGTTCATCGAGTAGTGAAACATTTTCGTATAAATAATCGACCGCATCAAATCGGAATCCAGAAAGTCCTTTATACATCCAAAATTCCATTACATCCTTTAAAACAATAGGTACCAAGACCATACGACCCATAATTTAAAGTCAACTTTTTTAGAGGATAAATTCTCCTCTGTCTAAAATTATCCGTAATCTGTAGATAAACTGTACCAAATAAACCATACAACTGACAGTGTATTGTTACCAACTATAGGTACCAATAAGTTTTTCATTAAAACCACGAGCTTATCCTATGAATCAGTATGTCCAGCCAATTTTAATAGTTTAAATTAATCATCTAGGTTATTTACTTGGGGAAATCTTTAGGTAGTTGCCATTACAACTAAACGTGTTCAGATAAATGTTAACAGTAATCGTGCCCGGCATTAACCACATCAGCAGTAAACTTATGAATAAACATATCCGGGTACCTCATAATTAATAATTAAAAAAAAAAAACAAGTAGAAAAATGATCATTGCCATCTATTTGAGTTTTTTTTTAAATTTTCCTTAGTTGATGTAAGATAAGCCATAATACAGAATTGTGGTAGTATTTTAATTTTTAGTTAAAACTCACTCCAAATGGTTAGGTTAAATTAATCTAAATTCATCCTCTTTTGCAGTTTTACCTTATCTGTAATACGTAGATAAAATGTAACAAATAAATCAATACAACTAGTACAACAAAAAGGTGTGATCCATTTGGATCCAAATTACAACTAGAAAAGTCTCTCAGAGTTGAATATCAAAGAATTTTCACTGTTTCAAAAAGAGATGATGGACACAAAACAAAATTAGGAATTAAATAACCTTAAAAGTTATTGTAAAACAATACAATTCAAAGAATGTTCTTTAAAAAATTTAAATCACAATTCACTTACAAAGTATTTGTATTATGCAAATATTTATAATATTTTTAATTTTATCAAAATATTTTTGGGTTACCAATTAATTACGATTTCAGGGATTTCTAAAAACTTAAAAGTTTAAAAAGGCCAACCGTAGTAAGTTTACTAACTTACTAACTTAATACTAACATTTAAATTTAGTTATTGTACAATTATGAAAGATAAAATCATAAGAAGTGTCTTAAAAGTAAAACAGCACCCAGTAAACTAATTAATGTGGAGCCGATTCGTGTGCCCGCATTTTGAGTATCAATTGTTTCAGGTTCAATAAGTTTATCTGTTAATACGACAACAGATTGTGGTCGCAGTTTTAGTGGATTACTAGCTGAAGGTGCAGTTGATACAATATTTCTAAAAACAAAAATTACAATAAATTAAAAAACATTAAACGGTTCATAATTGTAACGAGTTGTTATTACTCATGCCAAAACAATTTTTAAGTGAGATATTCTAATTACCCAGGATTATATGCTGAATTTTCACTTCCCAAGTATACGTAAAGTTCGTCTTTGAGGTTCTCCACGCCATTGGACAATATGACGGTTTCTGTTTCACTTCCAAAATTCATGACAACTATGTACGATTCACGTTCCAATAATGACCTGAAAATGAAACGATTAAGAATAATTAACGAAAAGATACAACGTGTAATATTAATTCAAAAATCAATTAATTCATTAACATTTTTATTACCTCTTTAATATATATATATATTGATTTGGTAATATTATACGTGTGAAGATCACCATATTTTAATGTATCGGTTTTCCGAAGTTGAGACATTTTTTTGTAAAAATTGTAATTGCTATTTGGTATTTTTTTCTGTGTTTCGACGTTTACTTTGTAATAATTTGGATTTACTGGTAACCAAGGTTTTTTCGCTTCAGTAAATCCTTAAAAACATTTAATACAATACAAATTATATTTCATAATAAAAATTAATCTTGACTTTTTTCTTTAATTTAACGTCAACTTTTCAACCGTTATTTGTTTCTTTGAGTATCTCATAGAATAGGAACTGTAGTAATTTGAATACATTAAAGGCCAAATCGATGCAGTTGGATTAAACACATAATGAATTTTAGATTCTGAGTGAAACGATGAATGTATTAAGATTTTACAATGATGTGTTTTTTTTTTTTACTTTTTATTTTATTTGTGTCTGAGTACACGATAAGGAGGCGAAATAATGCTTCGATTTTCAACTTCAGTATCTTGGTCGATTGGAAAGCGAATATCGTTGGTGCAACGAGGAGTTCAAAATTTAAAATCACCAGTGATTTTCAAAAGCGCCAAGAAAAACAAAAGAAAAATTAAGGAAAAATGGGAATTTTTATGTAAAATCGATTTTTTACAAAATCAATTTTGGTTTTTGGTTTAACTTTAAAACAAATGACTGTGGATACATGACATTTTCACTGGTTGAGCAAAAATACTTGAACATTTAATAGAAGGCTCTATTGTATATTGTTTCAAAGGCAGATGAAAAATATTGAAATTCATTGGTCACAGTTTTTTTTTATAAGAATTTAAAGTTCAAAAATTGACAAAATATGGAAAAATCACGAAAATTAGCAAATTATTTTGAGTAAAAAATTCGTAAAAAAATTTCTTTTTAAATCTAAGATTTTAAAATGTAATACAAGATTCCTTATAAGATTATCTACCTTTATCAAAAAAAAATCTCTACCGGAAAGTCAAATTAAATTTTGATGAGCGTTTAAAGTTCATAATTTTACAATATTGGATATTCACTAGATATCTCATATAGCGATTTCTTTATTTTGTTGTAATTTAAAAACGAATAACTGTAGATGCATGAAACTTTTACTGAATGTTTATAATAGCATTTCCTAACCAACATAATTTTGAAAATATTTTGACTCTTTTTGAGCTGTTTACGGACATTTACAGCTTTCAATTTTTTTTAGTTTTTTTTTCTATAAATATCAAAAAAGTTTTATCTGTTGGGCCAAAGAGTGTAAAAATTGAATACAAGGGACCTGATATATTGTTACAATAGCAATTGAAAAATATTAAAAATACATAGTCACAATTTTTTTTATAAGCATTTAAAGATCGAATTTTGACAAAATGTATCAAAATTATCAATCATTGTAATTAATAAATTCTAAAATGTTCAGTTTTTATAGCTAAGGATTGCAAATTTAAAACAAAGGTTCTCATAAATAGTTCATACTGTAACCAAAAAATATAAAAAATATGTGAACACAGTTATTTTTTACAGACATTTTAAATTCAAATTTGGACGAAATTACATATTAAAAAACCTAGAATAACTATTTTAGTTATTTTGTTGTGATTGTATAATATTATTCGTGGCCCGTGGGTAGGTACTTGAAACTTCTAAAGTATACTACCATATATCTATGATAGTATCACTGTTTGTTGTTGATGTATATTGAGTTATAAGTACCTAATGGATATTGTGATATGATTAATTTGGAATTTATTATAGGTCAATTTTTTTTTTTTAATACCATAGATATGTTAGGTATGATATGTTTTATACATAGACCGACATACCGTCTCCGCTCAGAATAGTTTTTCTTATACAATGATATTATATCATTGAATTCAAATTTAATAGCATCCATTATATAGTGACAAACTTGTAACCTACAGCAGAGCACCTTTTTCTAAATGTTGCTAACTGTTATCATGATTCATCATAGTAAACCAATTATGAATATTTCAATATAGATGGAATTAATGACCGTACATTTGGTTTTAGTACCTATTTTCGTTCTCGGTTCTCTTGAAATCGGCAAGCAACAACGGTGTACCTCGTTTTGCGAACTAATTCTAAATAATCCGTATGTAATGTGTTTTGTATATTTATCACTTCATCTATTTTTAAATAAATATTAAATAATATACATCTACATTTTTCTGATATCTCGAGACTCTAAGAACAATCTAATTTTCTTCATAAATCTATCGAATAGTTTTTGAGTATACACTCAACAAACATGCATTAATTTGTTTATAATTATCGATCATAGATTATATTATAAAATTACTTTTTATTTCTGTAATTACTTAATGATAACTATATATTATTATATAAACAAAAAAATCGATATTTGTGACCCAAAACCGAATTTCTGTGTGAGCCACCCTATAGCAACCAATTTAAATTGAAAAATCAAACTATTAACACTCATCGAGTCTCAAAAAATAAATGTATTGCAAAATAATTATACCTGCGTTTATTGAACTATCCCATTGCATAGGACATCTTTCATTATCTCTAGTTTCATCCAATCTCCCAGCTCCCGAATTATTAGGATCTTGAGTTTGGTCTGGTCTCACATAAGTGTTGTCCATGCCAATTTCGCTACCGTAGTATGTGACTTCTATACCAGGCAAAGATAATTTCAAAGCTGTAAATAGTGGTACCATTTCAGCACCATATTTGGTTGGCATTCTGAAATTGTCATGGTTTTCCACCTTAAAAAAAAATGTATGAGATTAAATTATACGTCATAGTCGTTGAATAATATTTACAAACGTGTACACGTATTGAAGTATTATTGAATGGCAGTTGATTACAATACGACAATATTTATTTGTGTCGGGACAGTGGACCTATATCATATTTTATTTTGAACATCACATTGAATATTTTCTTAAAAGTATTATATTTTAAAACACTTACCACCCAATTAGCCACCTGGTTTTCAGGCATATTATCTAGCCAATTTTTAATATTTGTGTCTATGGATTTAATTATATCACGTTTATCAACGGATAATAATGCAAAGTTAAATGGTAAATGAGCACCGGGTTTCGTTGAATTGCCATAGTATTGCATTAATACTTTTATCGATGAGTAGGATTCGGTGGCTATTAGACTGTTCAAATATAAAAATGAATTAATAAAATATTGTGAATCTCTCGATTAAGCAAAGAGAAGTTGCATTTTTTAATGTTACATTCTCCAAATATATTATGATAAGATGATTTACCTTGAAATTGGCCTGTTGTTACTTCTCGTATAATTATCGACGAATTCTCTCCATTCCCTTATAATTTCAATGGTTTCAGGTTGATCTACTGTATATGTATGATTTAAACTAACATAGTTTATTTTACATTCTTCTTCGGTCATTATACAATCTTCATCAATTAAGGAATCACTTTCATATAAATGTTTAAGAGCG